TCTTATTTCAGAAACAATTTTTTTCTTTTTTTAAATCAGCAGTGGGGACAAGTGAGGGAATGACATATTGGTATATTTTAATTACCTAAAATAAATAAAAAATAAAAATTGATAATTTTATTTTTATTCTTTTGTTAGCTTGTATTCTGAAGGACTCTTTCCCTGAAAATTTTTTTTCGTAAGCTGTAAAACAAACATAAAATATACTGGGGACATGAAAATGACTGTTTTTGTTAGAATGACCTATATATAGAATTAGCGCATAAGCTGCAAATTTCGAAGATCAATTTTAAGTCAATTTAAACAAACTCATCCCTATTTTCAAAATTTTACAGGTTCCTACAAAAAAAGGTTTAATGGAGAACACCATCGCTTTTGACTGGGAAATTGCTGAAAAGTTTGGTCCCACACAAAGTATGATAGAGTCATGTGAAAAAATATATGAATCTGGAGAAAGTTGGAGATTTAACTGCTCGTGAGTAATATGAACTTTAATACATAAAAAAATACGAAATTTTTAATCCATATTTTGTGTCTAAAAAAGTTGAAGCTTTTATTTTCAAAAAAAAAAAAAAATAATAAAGAACTGATTTTAATTTAAATTTGAAAATTATGTTTAGATCTTGCATTGCAATATGTAATTTGATTTCTGATTATTTTAGAATTCGCAAATTCCCATTATTGATAAAAGGATATCCAGCTTACTGCTATACTATAGAGTCTCAACTTGGTCAACCGGAATCTGAAGATGATATTTTACCTAATAACTTTTGTAAGTGTTGGTACCAGAAAAAATTCATATTTTTTTTCTGCAAAATCTATCTCCTGATTATTGCCTTTATAATTCACTGAGAAAAATTATTCAAATCACATTCTTCATGTTTTACTCAAATATATTGTTAAAAACAGCGTTTACCTCTATAATGACAAGATAAACTATATTAACGTGAAAGTTACCTAAATCTGCAAGGTGAATTCATAGTGTAGACAGGAGTAGACATAAGATCTGAAATGTAAGTCATGCCCTCACAGAGGCTATCATATTGTTGGGTTTATTTTCAAGGCCAAACAGTTCCAGCTATCATATTTAATAGAGTTATATATAATTAAAATAGAAAGAGAATGATAGGGGGAAAATAAAAAGTGCTTACATTTTATGCCAAACAAATGTAAACTTTATAAATAAACTAAACTAAACTCAGTGGCACGACAGCCCATAAAGAGCCAAGGCCTACTGTGCATATCTCAGTTTTCTTGACCTTCGGCTCTGGGGTGCAGGAGCAGATGTGTTCCAGTTAGGTGGCCAGCCGAACGCGGAACCCCCAGTGTTTAGTTCCCAAGCATGCTTGGTACTCAGTTATCGACCTACTGAAGGGATGAAAGGCTGAGTCAACCTTGCCCGGCCCGAGGATCGAACCAGGGACCTGTGGCACGACAGCGCGAAGCGCTACCACTCAGCCACCGGGCATCAACTTTATAAATATGGGAGTTAAAAAATTATTTTCCTTTTTTATTCCAACATCAATTTGATAATGCAATTGATAAGCATTAACTAAATTTAATTTAATAATTAACTAAATTTAACACATTTACTTTATATGAAGCATTTTATTGTGCAGGAAAAGAATTTATTGAGTTAAAAAACATCTTTTTAGGAGTTAGTTTGTAGCAAAAAAAGGATCTTTCAAACTTTTTTTAAGAACAAAAATATTGTTGAAAAAATTCTTCAAACGTTATTTTACCGTGTTCTTATTGATAAAGTAACGTATTGATAACTTATAAGATATCGTCTTGTTATTTTATTCCTTTTTAAAAATTTCCAAAAGCGAAATAAAAAATTTAAAGCTTGACTTTGTTTTTTAATACTCCTTATTTGTCTTCTTATTTTTGATTGTACCTGCATTTGATGTAAAAGGTTGATTGTATATCATATTAATAACCTCTATTTAATGAAATCATTACAGATTTCAAAATTGAACTGAATAATTTCCCTTCCGAGTATTTCAAGCATTTAGACGAAATTTTCATTTTTGCGGGAATTCACAATAGAAGGCAATTAATAAATCCACAGAAGGAAGGTGTTATTTTGAAAGGAGGATACGATTATAAAATCCACGTGTCTATGGTAAGTATGGCGTAAATGTCTGTACGTTTAAAAAGAAAAACAGGATTTTTTTATGGAAATTAAGTTATTGAAATAATTAATGCTTTTTTTAAAATCATATTTTTGCAATATTGTTTTTTAATTGCAGATTCTTTGAAATTAGTCAGACGCATAAATAGGTATATGTAAAAATAATATCTGCGCACTATTTAAACATAAAATCCTACATAATGTCAAAATTATTAGTGCTATTCAATGAGTTATTGGCGATTCAACGTATATTAATATGTTTAAAAAATACCGCTTTTGTCTAGATAGCAATGTTTAAAGTAACATTTCCTTTTACTATCATTTTCTTTCCTCGTTCTCAGTTTTTGGAATATCAAATTTTCCAAAATGTTTTTTTGCTTTTCTTATTCAGCACAGTATTAGAAAATTACTTCCAATATTAACTACGTAAAATGCTCATCGGACATAATTGCAAAACCTGCAAAATGAGAAAAAAGAAATCTGGCTCTATTTCAGAGAAAGATAGTTTCTTCATTAAAAGAAAGAAAAACACGCGCATTAAATTTTAAACTAAAAAATTTTTTCCTTTTGTATTTTTGCTTTCAACACCACCGTATAAAGGTAATGAAGGTCTTTTACTCGATTTTTTTTTGCATTCTTTTTTGTTTTTTTATTCTGTACATTTTACTTTTTTCTTCGTATTCAGGCTTGTTATATGAATTACTATCTTTCCTATGTTTTCCTTTTATGAATTTTATTATTTATTTTAATCTTGCGAATAATATATTAACTGACTGATTATTTTGAAACCGAACATGAATTTAGGAAATTTTTTTTTAAGGAAATCAAAACAATATGAAATAAGCCGTTCATAAAAATAACTATTAGGAATGACATTGTAACACAATTCTTCTTATGATAAGAACAAGTATTATCATGTTTTTTTTTACAGTGAAATTAACATAATTTCCTTTTTCTTTTATGCAGAAGCAAATTGAAAGGCTAGCTTTTCCTTACAATACAAATTGTACCGATTATTTAAAGCTGTGGAAACAAAACAACGGGTTTGGCCCTTTAAATCAAGATGTAAGTTTTGTTGCTGTAAACCTTTACAGGCGCATCATTTAAATGATACGCCTGTAAACTGGTGAACTGGAAGATTCTATTTTGCTCTTTTGTTTTCTTTTTCTTTCCTTTCCCTTTTTCTAAAAATATATATTTTAACAAATTGAACAATTTATGCTACATTTATATATATTTTATTATTTTCTTCGGTTAGATAAAAATTAACACTGTATTCACTTGTTATTTTTAAGGTAATAATCAACTCTTCTTGATTTTTTAAATAAATCTCAGATAATTTTTCCAGATAAAAGGCTTTTTTCAAAAAAATTAGTTTTGCAATATTGAGCAAAAATACAATTTTTATTAAAATATAAAGAATGAAACTTGTGCTGTTCTAAGTATGAAGCTTGTGTACTTATAATAATGAATGAATCTCGTGGTAATATTTATTTTTGATTCAATATTTCGTATTTTAAAATAATAAGTTAGAAAACATTAAATTCTATTGAAAAATATACGAATCATCAGTATGAATAACTGGTTAGTTTTCTAGCATAAAATAATCGTTATAAATTTTTATCAGTAATGACTAGTCTTTATGCCAATAGAATCTGTATTGTTACTGGTTCCTAGGTGGTGCTTCAAGTTTATTCTAACCATAGACTTATATTATAGGTAGGCTGCTCACGATGCATTACACTCGGAAATCAGCAACCCCATCACGGGATTCTTTGAACTGTTCACTCCTTTTGTAAATCCACACAATGTTATTTCAACCAAGAAGCTTTTCATTTTTCATAATTTCCATAATTTACAAACAGAGAATGTAACAAAAAGCTAAGTTTTTATCTCTGATTTCTAAAATCAGTACAATTTATGCCAAATATAATGATTGCTTATAACCAATGATTTATGTAAGTAACTAGGTGGGGTCTGATCTCTTAGTGCTTATTTTGTTTCAGTTCTTAAAGTTTGCAGTGGCAGCATGAGTTTATTTAAGCAAAAAGTCAATTTAAAATTATTCATCTTATTTTGTTTATGTTGTAACAGTTTGAAATAACAAATTTCATTAGCTGCAATTATAAGCAAATTAAATAAATTTTTGCTAAAAAACAATTGTTCCTCAATGAAGAAATACAAATATGTAATGAAATATAAATACATTTATTTACTAAAATTGCAAATAATCGGGAAATTTAATTTAATTAGACTTGTAATTTATGAATTGTTTAGAAAAATCCTTATCAGATTTATATTATTAAATAATGAAACATATTTTGTGTGTATATATTTGTAAGTAACAAATTCGCAAACTATGATGTACAAAACAATTTCTCAATGAAAAAATTGTGATGGAAAGAAAAAAGGCGAATTAAAACATATATATATATATTGATTTACCCGGATAACATGTATTTCAAAGTTACAAAAACCTACAAATGAAACCTGAATAATCGATGTTGAAATTATTTATTCCATTTTTAACTTTTCTTTATAAGAAAATTAATTCGGTCATTCAGGGAAGTCAACGTTTATCTTAAATTCTAGGAAAATTATAGGTACCATCTCAAAAAATATTTTTTGGCATCTGTAAAATATATTTTTCTACCAAAATATAAAGCCAAATACATTGCCAAATATAGAGATAAGTAGCCAAATCTGCTTATCGATCTTCCTTTTCCATCACGTGCTAAGACGATTATTTATACAGGTATGGGTTTCAAATTGAGTGCGATTTTATCATTGCGAGAGTAGTCTACTTATATTATTAGTCTATAATTGTAACAGATACTTTTGCAAAGTTTTATCTGACAACAGCGTGTATGTAAATTATTTTAAAAATAAAAATGGCAACAACTTCGATCTACAAAAATTGCGTTGAATTTTTTTATAGAAGTGTATATGGGTGATTCTCACGAAATATGACAATTCACTGTCCCTTGCTCCCAGATCTAATACTATAATACTAGAAGAACTTTTTTTTTCAAAAAATTAATAAATCGCATTGTTGTTAGCATTTTAAAATGACTTTGCACTAGCATCGACTGTTTTGTATAGTTAAGAAATTTAATTGAACTTCAAAATGTCATTTTCCTGGTATGTCCCAAACAATGTTTCCAATAATAACTAGCTTCAAAACTTCCCATAAATTTTTCAATATCTAATTGTTTTTTGTCTCAACCGGTGTAAGTATTTCTAGAATATACGCAGAGGGTATTATTTACAAAAACTTCGTTTAAAATAATTTTTTCTGTCAATAATTTGCTTGTCCAAAGAAAATCTGTCATTTTCCTGGCTACTTTTATTTAGTGGTTTATAACCAAAATAGACAGAGCCTACAATCAATTTCTTATGTTAATAGATTGATTAGATGCCCTCCTATATGAACATGTCTTGTTGCGTGAATAAAGAACCAATTTTCTGGCTCAAAATCTATTTCAAAAAATTTTTCAAGGTGAGTAGGTTTTTATGCTGTCATTTTCCTGGCTTCTTGAAATCATTAATAACAAAAACTACATAGATTTATCTGAGTTATTTTAAGAAATACTGTTGTTTTCTGCAGAATATAAACGTCTTCGGCCAAAATATTAAATTAAAGTAAAGTTATATGCTATAAAATGGCGAATTTGTCATTATCCTGGGTGTCATTTTTCTGATTTATGAATGCCAGAACATTGAAGTGTTACCAGAAACTCTTTTTAACTGCTAATACTGTAAGGAGGGAAAGCAAATATTAGCCTAATACCAAGTTTATGTATGATTGTAATATGCTTGGATGTAATCAAAGTTATTTATTTATTTAATGATTGATTATTGTACACAATTTTATTCCGTACATATCCGCAACAAGAAAACTTCTGATTCTTTCTACAGTGGATAAAAAGAATTAACTTAAGCAATTTATGATTCTTTCTACAGTGGATAAAAAGAATTAACTTAAGCAATTTATGGCCCATCTAACATAAAGACCTAAGTAGAGTTACTTACTATTAACTTAAAATGACTGTTTTTTTAAACTTCTAATCTAATATGTCATTTTCCTGGCATTCAATATTTGTTGAATTTCTATTTATATTTTTTCTTGTGTAAATGTCAATTAACTACACTGCTGCCTGTAAGATATTAATAAGTGTAACTAAAGAATTATACAAAAAAATTTTTAATTATTTTGAAGACTTTAAATTTGAAGACATTTTTTGGTCCGAATTGTCACGTTTAGAAAGAATCAGCCATATATTAGAAACCCTCACAGATTTGCTGGAAACACAATTTTCGAAATTAAGGATAGCTAACGTAAGCGAAAAGTTGAATCCTTTATGAAAAAGTTGATATAATAAAATTTTAGTATGCTTCGATTGAATAAATTTTATCTTTTGAAGGCACTGACTATTTCAAGGAGATAGATAAAAATTGTTGCAAAGTAATCATGTGGGTTGGAGGATGAAGTGGGCAGGGAAAGAGATCCACCAAAAACTGCATAATAAAGTAAAATAAATAAATAAATGAATGGGATTTAGCAAGTACATATGAAAGTAACTTAGCATTCTTGCATTCTTTATTTTCAAATTGTTCATTTATTGATTTATTTTTTAATTCCAGACTTGTATAGAGTATTGCAAATTGAAAAAGCTAAAAGCAAGAGGCTTGTGCGTTGACGAATTCACTTTCTATGAACCACATACCGAAAAAGTCTGCTCCGTAACAAGTAATAGATTTTTTGAAAAATAGTAAAAGTAAATAAACTATATGTAAGAATTTTAATTTTTATGGCATTTTTAAGAAATAGTATTTGTGAAAAGTTACGTATTTTAAAAGACTTATGCATGGATCATTAAAAGAGAATGGTTGTTTTAGTGTTGCGTGCGTTCTCATTGGAAAGAAAAATCGCATACCTGCAATAATTGATAAAAAATAAACATACATCTTTGGCTGCCATCAGCATTGGATTATTATTCTAAATTATTTCCATAATAGTAAAAAAATTATTCCTGAAAGCTGATAAGCTGATTTTAATGAGGACTAGAAGCGTTTGGCTTTCATATATCACATTTTATCCTATTACATAGACATGAATTTAGAATTTTTTTGTGAACAATATGAGTTCCACATGGTTTTTCTAATTTTATTTTTAAACCCATAACAAATTAATACCTCTGGGGGTTCTGATCTGAAAGTTTCCTTGTCTTCTGGATTGGTTCAAAATTACAAGGCTACGGAGTTGAACTTTAGTAGTCGTAAACCCAAAATTGGGTCTGCTGTTCAACGACGGATATGAAATAAGCTGGGCTTGACCCTGACCCGCCCCGCCCCCTTTGGGGTCATCCAGGAAATACTGTAGACCAGCGTTGGTGCAATCCTCGAATCAGTCGGTGGACCCAGCGGTGCATGGACACGTGGTTCCATAGCCCCGAGTCACGCCCGACAAAAAGCAACACAGTCGTTCGGTGGACAGAGGAGGCCGAAGGGGACAATCCCGAGACGGGTGCGGCGGTGCCATGCTCAGCTGCAAACGACTCACTAGGAGCGTGGCACCAAGCAGACAGCCGCCACACCACGACCCATCAAGGCATCCTCTGACTGGAAAGCTCTCAAAACCAAAACAACTTTTATTTAAAACAAACAATACAGTGTCATTCAATTGAATGAAAAGAAGTACAATAACAATGAAATATAAGATGAAAAATAAGATCCAGAGGATTAATTTTTTTGTAAGAGTTACAAAATTTGAGAGTAGGGCACCAAGACTGGCTCACAAAATATCGGGCAGCAATGATTTGTATTAGTAATGTATTTGTCGTCTGATTCTGTCCAATTCTCGCTGGTTTGCGGGACAAGTCCTATTTGTTGCTGGGTGGTTGACATTGAGTTTCAACCCAAACTTTTGGTTTGCTGATTTGCAATTTACACAGCTGCTCTTTGCCTTGCAGTTACTCATCTGGTGTCCGTGCATCCCACAGTTCGCACATACTTCTTCATTCTGACACACCTTAGCTAAGTGTCCGAAGCGATTGCACTTGTAACAACGGAGGGCTCTTAGGTATTCTTTTACGTTGTGGATTTTCCAACCAAGTTCACGGATATGAAATAAAAAATAAAATACTTGATCAGGAAGTTCCCTTGTCTTCTGGATTGTATACAAAATTACAAAGCTACGGAGTTAAACATTAGCAGTCGTAAACCCAAAATTGGGTTAGCTGTTCAACTACAGTTATAAAATAAAATCTGCAGGTGTTGAGAGCTGTGCTGGATCAGGGGATAGAGCATTTGCCTGCAAATGATGTGACCCAGGTTAGAATCCTAGCTGTGGCTGGTTGATACAAATGCTGCTTCCGACTCACTTCGATTTCTGCGCTGATGCAAAATATCATCAGTGATATGCGGGCCATGGGTTAGAATTTCCCTGCCAATGAGTGGGAGTTTTTCATTGTTTTCCTTTGCATGTGGCTCAAATGCGGGTTAGTTCCATAAAAAAGTCCTCTAAGTAGGGTAGTTTGTCCCTATGCATGATCCAGGAATTTCTTTGTATTCCGGATTGGTTTCAAAATTATAAGACTACGAAACTTGATTGTCATAAACTCTGAATTTGGTTGGCTGTTATAAAATAAAATATATAAAAAATATAGTGCGTGGAGTCCCTCCGCGCGGAAGAAGTTAAACTTCGCTACGTTAATTGTAGAAGAATCAGCAGTCGTAGAAGGATCTATTCAACGACTCTTTTTCCTGCTCCACTCGCTTCCGTGCTCTGTAATAACGGTAATACTGTGCATTTTTCCCTCGTGGACCTCTTGAACCAGTGGAAGTGCTTGTGGTTGCCTCATCGTCTCGCCCTGGAAAATGTATTTGTATTAATAATGTATGTGAATGCGTCATAATGTAATTTCAGAAGAGAAACAATCAATTGATATTCACAAGAGACGTACCTTGACATAACCTTAAATCCGACACATTGTCCGTGGGATTGTTTTCACTCATTTTTTACAATTGTTATCCACTAAATTTGAAAATAAAAAATACTAGCCTATTAAATTGTATGTGTATCAAATCAAACTAAAAAAATATTTATAGAAAAACAGTACTTTTATTATTTTTATGCTAGTGAGAAACAAAACAATATGGAAATGAATGAGGGAAAACTGGATCCTACCACGTGATTTCCCGGCCAATAAAAATATAGCGTTAAACGTTTAACGCAACCTTGTTGGAAGTCGCATAAGAAGTATAACTTCGAAAATCAGAAAGGGATGAAATTTTGAAAATGTATGGGGAGCATTTTTGCTGAATGAATTTCAAGCTTTTGAATATTTGTATGCAATCATGTTATAAAGAGCAATGAACATCTTTATTTCATGCTTTGATGTCTAATATGTATGAATACATACGCTAAAATATAATTTGAACTTTATGAATTCATTAATATCGTAATTCTTAATCTCTGGAGAGTTTCACTCAGACTTAATGATTGAGGCGTGTTCGTTGCCAAATTGAAGTTCGCCCTCAACGTATTACGGGTCAATTCTGTACTTAGAAATTGCAGGCTTATGTTGAAATATAGCATCATGTGTTCAAGTTTAATAAGAAATAAAATACGCGTAAATAAAGTTACCGTATAGTTAGAAAATTGTGGTTCAACGCTTATTAATAGTTTTCATGAAAGTGACAATCTTTAATTTAGCTAGTTCTTCAACTGGCAAACTTCAATTGATTCTTCAATTGGCTTTGTAACGAACATCGAAGTCTGAATAGACATATGTAACAATAAATAAATAAAAATAATAAATATTTTAACCGATTATGCGACTGTTCCTTAACTTTTTTAAAATAAAGATTTTTAATAATACCTTTCTACACAAAGATAACGAGCTAACATTCAATACTGTAACAAACTTGATTCATTTTCGAAATATTTAACACATCACTACACTGTGGTGTAATACCTATATGAATTGAATGTACAAAAACTCTTAAATTTGTGTGTTACTTCAAGTTAATACTGATTCTAACGTTCATACACATTTTAAAGGGTGATGTTAAATCTAAACTCCAATAAATGATAAAGCCGACTCCAAGCTCAGTTCATTTAAAAATTACTTTCACTAATCTAGCCGATAATTTTGCAAGAAGTCATGCAATCAATACTTTTTGTTTCAAATCAAGAAGATGAACGCACGATGCTCAAAATTCTACAGAAGTAAATTGTCATAAAAAGTTATATATGTTTTTAGTTGTATACTAAAGATAATTATATTATTTTTAAAAAATCTGCATAAATCTGTCAATTTTTTTAAGAAATTTCCACCAATGAGTTGAGATCCATTAAAATCTTTTACACTGCATTCTTCACTTATGCATGTTCTAATTTCAGCTACAGAAACTACTACATATGAAATGAATAAGCACTGTAGTATGGAATGCCAGCCTGCTTGTCTGTAAGTTTACTAAATAATAATACTTTCTTAAAAATACCTGACGATAATTACTAGCATCTGGTACATGCGCAAAATAGAAAAAGAATAGCAATTGTCTTACGCTACCATCGACGTTACAGAATAGAATAATATGGAAAGTTAATATAGTTATGTGTTTGGTTTAAATTGTGTTGACGTAAAATATATATCATATCAGATGACACAGTTGTTGAAAAAGTGAATATTGATTACTAATAAAAACTATAAATTAATCTACACAAAACTGCTATAAAACGTAAACGTCATTTATTTTAAGAGAAATTAGGTGTAGTAATTAAGCTGGCAGTGTAGTTGAATGCTTTAAGTGTTGTTTCAGGATTAAACCAGAATTCACATATACTGTAAAAAAATTCCGCTTTGAAAAATTCAATTATGGTAAAAAACACCGGAACTCAGGTTGTCGGTACTTTTAATAGTAAATTCACTTTTCACCGGAACAAGTTACGAAACCAAATACACCGATATACCGTTATTTTTGTCAGTAATAAGTACCGTAAAATAACTGAATCACCCTAATTAAAAAAATATCACTATAAAAATTGCGGTATAACATATTTCAGTAAAATATATTATGGTACAAAATGGATTTTATGGTAAAATATATTTTACGTTAAGACGGATTTTAGGGATGATGCACCTAAAGTGCCTGTACTTTATACCGTAATTTGATTTGGAATTTCTTTACAGTATGCATGCCAGCTACTTAGTGTGCGTCGATTGATATGCATGATGTCATAAATTCAGAATTCGAATTTATTTCGATCTATTTTTTTTAAATAACAGTTTCATAATAGTAGTTGGAGGAACATACTATAATACTATGCCAATTATTTTAAATTTCTATACATTTTTTAATTAAAAACGTATTTTGGGCCAAGCCCATTTTCTGAAACAAGCATTTTGTGCTATTTCCATTTTTTTTAAAACACGCTTTTCTAGATATGTCAATTTTTTAAAAACAGATACTTTAAGATATTTGCATTTACTCAAACCCGGATTTCAAGCTATTTACATTTTTAAAGAGTGCATTGCAAGTTATTTCTATTTTCTTAATAACCCAGTGGTTAGAACCCCGGTCTGGATTCGCCGTGGTTTGATTCTTGTCAGATTTGTGAAACCGAAAGCCTGTGGTCAGTCGCTGAGCAGTGGGTGCAGGGATCTGGAGATAATTTCCTTCCCCTTTAGATCTAAGTCTAAATTGAGGAAGTGAACTCAAAAATTGTGATGATATGTCTTCCTACCATCCTCAGGGATGCCTCCTGGAACGTCACAAATAGCCCATTGTGCAAATCTAGTGAGAGTTTAAGTTTTGTTGAAAATTCTAGTTTGTATTTCATAGCAAGAAAAATGTATGAAATTCAATGAACAGCTCTTTAAAAATTTATTCAGTACATGGATAATAAAGGACTGGGACAAAAATTATTTGAAGAGGTTGATACTTCTAGAAAATACAAGAACAAAAGTCACTTTGTGAATTTATAGTTATGAAACTAATGGATCTGTGTCTTTGAGGGAAAAAATATGATGATCATCCATAGATTGGAATACTCTTACTTTCGTTACTTGCAAAGAAAATAAAACTAAAATGTACGAACTTTTACTTCTACTTCATTACATATTTAATTTAGTACTTTTGTCAATTCTTTAGTTACTTTCTTAGAGAAAAAGTACATGTATTTGTAGGGAGAGTGTCGGAAGGAATCGTTACTTTCTCCTGAAATTTTTGCTAAAATTTCCTCACAATTTTTATTTTATTTTATTGATGTTATGTATGATAGGTTCTTTAACAGTCCTTTGCTTTAATTACTTGTACTTTTACTCATTACTTTTTAAAAGTAACATTCCCATGCATGTAATGGACTTTGTTTCCAATACCAGAAGCTTGCGCACTTTGGAAGAACAAAACATTTTCAATTTTTGCTACAATGTGGCTAAATTGTAACGAAATTTCACTAACTAGCCAAGTTACATTGTAAGCTCTGTCGAAGTAAAATTGGCAAGTAAAAATGCTTGACAGGTAAACATCATTTGAAAGTTTTATCATAGGTTATACTATAATGTATTAAAAAACAGATTGCGAGGACTATTTTTAAAAAACCTTAATTAGCCATTAACTAACTGTATAGGCATTTTTACTACGGAGCTAATCAGTATCTTTATTGTAGGGAACAGGATTATGAAATGGAATATGAAGAAGCTGATCTAGAAACAAAAGTCAAAGGGGTTGGTAAAATTCTGAAAAATATCTAAATACTTTGCCTCTATTACTATAAAAACAATTTCAAACATTGCTCTAACTAACTTTAAAATTCTTATAATTATGTTTAATATTTAGTTACATATTCACGTGCCCTTTTTACATGTTGATTTTTCATAATTTTAGTTTTTAACTTATATAATTTTTTAAACAGAATTTCATATAATTTCATATAAAATATCATAATTAGCTATAGTATTATAAAATTAAAGTAAAATTGTTTCATGTCTCCGAAAAGAAAGTCGTATTCAATTTCCAAAATGTATTAAATATTAATTGATTGTACATAAATTTTTCAATGTTTATTCTCAAATACCGGTTATATTTCAACCTCTAGAAGTCCACACTTTACGGAATCATTAAAGCAGAATATGCATCGAATAAGAGACTTAGGGGAAACAACACAGAAGAAGCCTGTGAAAAAGAAGGATTTTTTAAAAGGAATTTTGAAACAATTGTGATGAACTTAATTTAAAAGACATTTTTCTTAATCTTATTGTACAGTGCACAAAATAAAAGACGGATCACACGGAATAACTATTGATTAATGATCGAATCTCCTCATTATAGTGCTCAATCTTTATAGTTTGGGCTTAAAGGTTTCAAATCTGCTAATTAATTAGTGCAGACGATATTTTAAGTAACGAAATTCGATTCAGAAACGTACTTTCTCGGAATAAACAAGTCCCTTTTTCAACTAATTCGAATTTTTGACTCACAAAATATAAAGGGTCTTATAAAATATTTTTTCCACAAAATGACTGTATTTTGAAAAAAAAAATCAAAAAATTGCTTAAAAGAATTTAAATTTTCGTTGATTAATTAAAACCCAGTCAAACCAATTAAGGGGAGTCGGTAGGGCCTATACCAATAATGCTAAAACCGATCTCATTCCATGTACCTTTTCGCAGCATCTAAACAAGACATTGCTTCAGTTTTATTCACAGAATATTTACATACACATGTTTATACTGAGATAATTGTTAATACATATCTTTGGCAGAAAATTTTTAAAAATAATTATGAACTGAATTATGAACTTTTAATTTTTTAAAAAGTTTCTTCAAAAATCTTTAATAACTCAAAAAGTATTCCTGTCAATGTAATGCTGTAGTAATTCCTGTAACAGATATAATCTTAAATATCTCCAAGAAATTTAAAAGTGATATCATAAGTAGTTTACTAGAAAAAGGTACATAGAGAAAAGTTAGTTCTAGCATTATTGATATATCCTTTATCGACTCCCCTTAAACATTCTGTACGTGCTAGGAAAACTATATTTATTGTGAACATTGAGACAAAATATGAAAATTATACTTGTTAGAGATATGCTAAGTAAAGAGAAACACAGTTCCGAGTAAATTGAGGATAAAGTTTTGTGATCAATAATCCACGTAAGTACATAAAATTTTGCAATTAACGATAATGCATGAATGCTAGGTTCATAAGATGCTTCTTCTCCATTGTAAACAGTCTTAAGTGCTTGTCTAACCCTTTTTTTTTCTCAAGCCTTATATATTTTTAGGCTAGCAACCGAAATTCTGGCGAAATCTTTATTTTGAGCATACTCTTTTACTCCTGGGCCTACATTTATTTCTAATTTCTCAAATGTCAAAAAATCTTTTCAATCATCGTTCAAAGTTACTACAACTAAATAAGTAGCGATTTTTACTATTAATGCCGAAAGTACCATTAGTCTCTTTTTTTACAAAATTAAATCAAAATATTTCAATGAAATGGTTAAATTGATAGTATTTTACTCTACTGTTTTAATTGGAGTGAACAAATTCATTAGTCAACTGAACGCACGAATTAACTCTTTCATGCATGTCATAGCGCGCCGTGCGTCGTGCGCCGCACTCACTATGCTGTTACTTCAACATATTTTCAAAAATCAATTTATTAATTTTTTTACAATAATCTTAAAATTATTAACTATCGAAAAATGCAATATTTCTCTTTTATTATATTATATTATATCTTTATTATTATATCTTTTGAAACATTTACTGTGTTGTTCCCTCCTGAAAAAAAATGAATGTGAATTCTTTCAGAAGTGTAATTTGTTACTTATGAAAATACGAAAAACATTTTAAAAGTAGAGATTATTTCTAGAAATATAAATTCAATCTGAAATGCAACAATCTGAAGCCTATTTTGAAGTTTTGTATTTGAAATTTTTGTTACTTGTCTAATGAAAATAACGTATTCTATGTACATTTGTTTAAATACCAAAAATCCCTAAATTGCAAAGAATACGTACTACACTCTTCTCCAGAGTAAGTATTATTATTATTATTATCACCCATATTATTATTTTTTGTTTATTCAACATTTTTTCTCAGTATCATTATTAATAATTAATATTTCAAAACTTGGAGACTGTCATACTGAAATATGCATAAAATATTTCCTAAGAGTTAAAAAAAACTAAGTTATTATTTTACTTAATTATTTAAAAAAAATTGAAATTATTAACTTCATCGATACTCTTCTCATACCGCAACCTTGGATTGAGTGCAGATTAAATTCTAATGTAGAGATTCCCTCTGCATCCGCGTAACACTTTCGAAAACCGTTCCATGATTGCTAAAAGTTTTGACTTCATTAAAACTCATTATTATTTCTCACATTTTCTTTTCCGCAAACACATTTGAATACGTAAGTCTAAGAAAAATAATCTTGGCAATAAATTACAATTAATAGTCAATACATGGATTCCTTAACTTTCCTTGGCCTAAACTATTCTAAATTATACATGACCCTCGCATTTTTGATTTGTGGGTAGACGGAGCTTACCTTTGCAGCCACCTCTTCCTGGTCATTTTTCAAGTTTATTGTATTTAATAATTTACTTGTATAAAAAAAAATGAAGATTTCTTTTTAGTTTGGAGCTCCAAATTTTCAAAAATAAAACATATTTGTAATTATTTATCATGATTTGATTCTCCATTTAAGCAGATGTTTAAGATATAATTGTGTACCGTTACCCCTCTAGCTGTGATCTCTAAATTTAACTTTAGTAACGGTTATCCAGGTTAATTATATAGTAGGCAAGTATCGAATGAATTACAGGAAACTCTTAACATTTAAAACTCATTTTTATTGCAACTCTAAATCTTCAAAAAACATAATTCCACACATTTCCAAATGCTAACATGGGAATAAACACTTCCCTTTATACATTAATTAAAACAACATGCAACCTTAAAACACTCAAGCATAACCTTCAATTCATACAGTTCAAAAAAGACATTTAAGAAATAAAAACTGCATTTAACATTACTAAAAGCACTTAAGACTTGGTTTATGATGTCTATAAATCACACTTAAATACTCATTGTTCTCCTATACAAAAAAAAAAAAAAAACATAAACAGTTCAGAATTTACGGTAAATGATTCCTCTAAAATGTTAACGAAATAAAATTTAAAGTTTTATAAGTACCCAAAAGAATTTACTGTTCGCCCTCGGGAAACGCCCTCCGGAATGGAAGATGAACTCGTGGGCAAACTCCTCAGCTAGGATCTCAGAATTTCTCCAGCTATTCTAACTTCATTTGCTTAGGCATGCTGAAGGGGAACACCGGACTTCCAGCATAGATACGTTCGAACTTGGACCACCTTTCCTGCGGACAAGCTAAGTATCCTCCGGGCTACTGCTTTAGCCACACTCATCACTTCTCTTTTGTCCTCCCTTCAACAAGGCGAAAGAATCCAGATTGACCTGTTTACCAAATCCAGAGTCATCCCGCATAGGGTGGACGTCAGAACCAAAAAAAAAAAAAGATCCCTGAGAAAAAACAGTCATAAACCCACTAATACCCTATAGAAGTTATAATACCATCCTCAATAAATATTAATAAATTTAGTTACCCAGATTTCACCCCAAAAATCCCATTTTAAAAGACTAATTCAAAATTTCTAAAAAAAATATCATTATTATGATTGAATTTAAACTTTACCATAGTGGTGCCATCTACAGAAAAATATTTTTAAACGTATTGAAAAAAAAACTATAATAAATTTCTATTTATTACAATTGCTGCCCTCTTCCTCTTCATCACTGAAATAAAATAGTGAACAATTGAAAATATCTTCAAATGAAATGTTTTCTTCGATGAATTTTTATAAAACGAAAATTTTCAAGTTGTTTATTCTTTTCCTTATCTGCATTTTCTTAATAATTATTTTATGAATTTTTCTCGATTGATTGTAAGTCAGTAATTACTCTGTGTTCTCTTTTTTTTTAATTGCCTCTCAAGTGTGGAGCGAAAGTAAATTGCAAGTAAGTTCTCTTTTTCTGTGTGAGTATTGGACAATACACTTATAAGTCTCAACCACTATATTTAGAACAGATAACTAATAAGCATTTTTATTCGAAAATTTTATAGTTTTTTTTTAATTATAATATCAATTTGTCAATTTAGCAATTGGGAAAGGGATAAATTTAACCCATAGTTCTAAAAATTGTTCAAAAATTTTTTTTCTTCCATTTATAGATTGTTAAAAATGGATTTCAGCACTTTTTTCTTGATATTTCAGAATATCTAAACATATTTTCACTGTGAAAAATTCAGAATCAAATTACGGTAAAATGTACGCATCCTGGGGGCATAATCCGTAAAATTAACTTTACCGTTAAATCCATTTTTTCCGTAAAATTTTATACCATATATTTTACTGTAGTAATTATTTAACTACAGTGATTCAATGATTTTACCATAAATATTACTGTAAAAATTAAGGCATATCAGTAAAGGTATATCATAAAGGTGTGAGATATTAAGGGTATATTACATATTGAAAGTATTAAGATAAATCAGTATTAAGGTTTATTCTGTAAAATATTACGGTAACAAGTAATGACACCCTAGGCACCGGTACATTTTACCGTAATTTGATCTGGATTTTTGTTACAGTGCTTTGTAAGCAAAGCATTTCCGAAATATTGAAATATTACCATCTTAAATTCTATGCTACTTCCCTCGAAATAAAATCTTTAATTTTCCAGTAAGACATATTTTGAAATTTAAATTAAAATTAATAAATAATAAAACATAAAAATATATTATAGTACAAAGTAATAATTTATATTAGTCCCAAGTTATTTGCGAAACACTCCATTCGGGAAATCCCCCCCCCCTTGCATTTTTATGATATAAACTTGAAATTGAGATGGAAATAAAAAAACGATTCCTCTTTTCTAATTTAAAACAAGAATATCAAAATGATAATTACAGTATTTAGTATGATTAGTAAAGTAACCAAAACTTAAGGGATGACGATTTTTCAATTATTCCTTCTTTTTCATGAAGCTCTTGCAATTCCATTTTGCATTTAATATGATTACATTTAATATAATTTTTAAATAAATGCATTTAATATGATTGCCTTGCAGCATTTAATATGATTTTTAACGTAACCAAAAGAAAAAAAAAAGGGTTGATGGCAGGGCTCGAAAAACCGTCCGTCCGCCCGTCCTCGGCGGTCAAAAATTCCCCACGGACAACGAATTTCTCGAATCCGACGTCCGCGCGGACGGCCATTTTCCCGTTAATGTTCGTGATTCATTTTCAATTTTTATTATCTTACAAGAGTCTAGCTCCTCACTTCTAAAATGACCCTGAAATACAGCAGCATACTGCGCATGGTGGAATTGATGTTTTATCTGTCTGGGAGTACCGCAGCGGTTGAAAGGGGCTTTTCAGCAATAACCTTAAAAAAAAACACACATTACGTACTGGTCTTAAACAAGAAGCGTTAAACGCAATTATGAACATCTACCTAAATGGAAAACCCCTTTCAGATTTCTGCGCCGAAACCTCTGTGGATCATTGGCTGGATTGTGGAACTGGAAAACTTGATTAATTTAAAAAACGCAATACCCTCGGATAAATTGACCTTTGTCATTTAAATTATTTCATAAAAGAAGTACTAGGTTACTATTAGTAACCTAGTACTAACTTTTATACTTAGTACTAACTTTTTTACTTAGTACTAACTTACTAGTAACCTAACTTTTATTACTGTATATTGCAATTCTAGTATTTGTAATCCTAGTAACTACTAATTTATTGCGCAATTTATATAAATGTTTGTAATAAATAAGAGAAAATTATATTTTTATTTATTTAGAAGCTACGGGTTAGTTTCAAAGGAGGACGGGTACATTGTTGGACAAACCGTCCTCTGGGACGGGTAAAATTTCTGAATTTTTTCGAGCCCTGGTTGATGGTTTTTAAACTATTCTCAGGCTCTCTCTCTCTTTCAAGACGCTAATGCAATGCCATCTTGTCTCGAGAGTTTCATTGATGAGGTGTTCATTATGATTTTTAATAACTGCATTTAATATGATTGCATAACAGTATTTTAAATAATTTTTAATGTGAACAAAAAATAAGAAAAAGGATTTTTCAGCTATTTGTAGGCCCTTTCTTTTTCATGACGCAATTGCAACGGTATCTGGTCTCAAGAGTCATTGATGAGGAAAAACAATAAAACTATTAAAAAAACTAACTATAATGACTATTTTTATGAGTCACATATGAAATTTTTTTATTTAATCTACAATTACCAAAAATTAGTTAAGTAAAAAATGTTTCGTTTCTCTTTTTAGTGAAGCATATATTTCAGTGAGAGTTTTCTTTGCAAAGTTTCGATTGTCAGAACAAATTTATTTGCCTAAAATAGTGGTAAGTTTTAATTTTTTGACTCTAGTAAATTTGGGAAATTTTTTCCAAGGACAAAGATTAAACTAAAAATACTGATAAATATTATTTCAAAGATTCTAAATGATATGATGTAGTAAAATGCACCGACATGCACTATTATAAATTCAATAACACAATAGTTAGTATTAATATTTTTTTTACTTTCTTTGAAAAAGAAAGCTTCAAAATATTAAGTGTTAAAAATATATTACAATTTTGCTATTATTTTATTACTACTTTTATTACTATTATTTTATAAGTTGTAATCGTTACAACAACATGTTTTTAAATATATACAATTTCAGGTACAATAGTAATTCACTTATCGAATATTAACCTTATATGGAGGTCCATATTTTGCATTTTTAAAAAGAAAAGATTAAAACAGAAAATGTTAGTCATATTGTCTTTTGAGATTTTCATTAATTAAAATATGCGTATTTATTTTGATATAATATTTCTTTCAAGTTTAAGTGTCAATAAAAGAGAGAATTCTTTTATATTGTGCCAAACAGGTGTTGCCGAGTGGTTAGCGTGCCTGACTGCGAAGCCAATGGCTGTGGGTTCGAATCCCGCTCTGGGCAGGGATGTTTCTCTCTCTCTGTGTTGTCATTTGATGTGTGAATGTATGACTGTAGTCCACCCTATGAACGGGTATTTGTGGCGTGGGTAATGTTGCTCGCCTCCGTGACTTTGGTTCACAGGTGCCCAGTGGGTAACGATAAATGCGCAACACTTCCGGCATCTTCTAAGGTGAAGAACGAAAGTTCGGTGGATGCCGTTATTAAAAAAATTATATTGTTGGGTTAATTGCTTGAGTCTAATTTAGTTTATTAATTTTATTGCATTAAAATACATTTTACTTCATTTATTGATTCAATGTATAAAACTGGATTCTCGTTATTTCAAAGAAATGGTTGAAATAAAATTGAAAGAATTTAAAAACTGCATGTGATTATAGTAATAAATGAGTATCAATTTATTTTAATCTTATAAAAAGGCTCAACTTACTAACAAAGATACGTCATAATATTGTCATAAAAATCTTAAAAACTGTAAATTTTTTTTTATAATAATAGCTAAGTTAACCCCCTCCCAAAAAAAACCACAAAAAATTTATTGAAAAAAAAGTTTGCAGACTGTTTTTGCCGATTCCACTGCAGAATTTTTGAGGACGAAGAACTGCGAAATCATTGCAGTTCGTGAAGTGCTGTAATTATATATTATATATGATTGCTTTACAACTCGAAAATTTTGCAGTTAATATGGAAAAACATTAGATTATTTGGTAAATACTAGACTTTTCAGGCTAAGAAGCCGTGTGGTATCTATAATAATAGTCGTCGGAATTAATTGGAATATGCAGGAAACTGTTAACTTTTCGTGTGATAAAGGATTATAAGAAATAGTAAATTGCCATAAGCAGGATTCAGATTCGCGCTTAGTCAATCGTGAGATTGACCGATTACCCCTCTTGATTTTTGTAGCAAATAAAAATGCCAAAATTGCGAATGCCATAAAGCAAGTCACTCCAATGAGTGTCACGATTTATAAATTTCACCAACTAGTAGCTTAAGAATAAGAAATGAAGGCAAGACATAACTTCATTTCCATGACACAATTTTTATTTCTTTCATAAATTTTTGCCCTGTTTATCATTAATGAGTGGTTCCGAAACAGAAATAAATGGTATCCCTAACCTTTATATGAATGCACCCCTAAAACCTTTTCTTTACAAAACATCCCCCTCGTTACAATATAAATACGTTAATTGCTCTACAACCTTGATGTCTTGTTCGTGGTTGATAATTAAACACTTGCGCACTCTAAAAAATTGTGCTAAAAAGTACCGGTACTCAAGGTGTCAATATTACATAACAAAAAATCAGTTTTTACTGTAATATGTCACCGAACAAAATATCTGATATACCGTAATTTTTTCAGTAATAACTATAGTAAAGGTAACAGAATCACTCTAATTAAATAATATTACTGTAAAATTTATAGTACAATATTTTAAACGTAAAAATGTATTTTACGGTAAAATTTACTTGCTGGTAAAATGGACCCAAAGGGCCAGTATTTTATGTAGTAATTTGATCCGGAATTTTTTACAGTTCATGGTTATTTACAGTGCAATTTTTTACAGTGCAGTGTGTTGTCAGTGAACGAAAACTCTCAAGAAATATTAGTGACGAACGAGACTTTAAATGAACTACCGCGTGTAAAATGAAATTGACATTCAGTTATATACTTTTAATTCTTTATTTATTTACTAATTTTTTAAAATTGTATTTTCTAGGACATTGAGTTGTTCAGTTACATTGGAGGGTATATAGGAATATGGTTAGGAATCAGCTTTGTATCTATATGCGATCTTCTGGAATCATTATGCCAGCTATTTTGTTACACAATCAAGACGAAACCATAATTGTATGAATTATGACGCTAAAATGATTTATAATTATTGTTTTTCATTGATCTATGCTTTACCTGAATTGTTAAAAAATATATCATAAATATTGCTTAATTCAGTGCTAAATTGATTTGGTATTAGTAATGTGATCAAATTAATTTATGCTAATATTGTATTCAAATTAATTTCGTGTTAATATTGTATACAATTCAAAAAATACTATAGCATATTATAAATCGATTTTGGTTCATAATCTGAATCACCATACGAAATAACTATTTTGAATTACTTATATAAGTTACAAGAATAAAATTCAAATTGCTTGTTGCATGTTTTGATGTAATCTGTTTGTTTCTATTTTTATTTTACTCAAGCCAAAACTTGTTTATATAAGTTACTTATTGAATTGCTTACATAAGTTACAGGCCAAAACAAATCTTTCACTCATATAAGTTAGTTGAAAATTATTGTTGTTGTGAGTAAAAATATATCAGAAATGCACAAAAATGAATTAATTGTTTTTTAAAATCGAAAAGCTAACCAAACTTTAAAGTTACTCATAGAAATGTAAAAATTTATCATGCTTGAATTAGATGACCAAGTGCAAATTTTACTTAATAAAAAGCTAAAGCTCTGAAAATTTACATTTGTAATTTATTTCCTGTAAATAAACAGTGCAAGCGAAGTGATAATTCAAAAATTATTTTATAAAACACACAGCCTTAATAAACTAATTCTAATATATGAAAGCTTAATTTGATACAAATGTTTTTCTTATTTCATTTTTTTTCAGCATTAGATTTTATAAAATTAAAATTGGCATTGAGCTTCTTTGAGCATTTTTACGATTAATTTTTATGATAATTTACGATTAATCGAATAGATTTGCGAAGTACGGAAAAATCTAGAAATAGCTATAGCGTAATAGCTACCGAGAGAGCTAATCTGTCAAAGTTACGACCAACAGAACGGGGGTTCGAATCCTAGCGGTGACACCCCTATATTTTCTTAATTCCCTTCGACAAATGAAAAGTTTCCAGTATCCTGCCTACCCCAATTTGTGAACCTGGGATATTAGAGTACGATACTCTTATTCACCAAAGATGGCAGCACCATAAAGCTGCTAAACTATCTCCAAGCTCAGCTAATTTTCTATTTTTAAGGTATTCAAACCACTCTAGCTGTAAATGGTTTGAAAAACCGTATATTTTGTATTCATGGCTTTACACATAGTAATATGTAAAAGGTTTCGAAGCTATAAAGGTAAAATGCTCTCTCTACCTTAAACTCTAATGTTAAATGGATTGACAAACTGCAGCCGAGTATTTTGCTATAATTTTAGAATGAAAATTCTAACAGCGCATTATTCTTTTTTGTTGTATTTTGTAGTAAATTTATTTTTGTGCCCAAATGCTGCATGGTTTAAATTGCATCACATTCTTTGCTTTGGCCATAAGTTTCCTTAATCGAAGTAAAAAATTAGAAAAAAAAACTTAGGAAAAAAATTTTTTTATTAAGAAAATGTCTAAATATTTTTCCGAGAGGCAACGTTATCGCAAAGTCAATCAATTTCATATAATTTTGCTACATGCAGGGTGTTCCGCAAGCACCGCTGCTAATATATAACTTTAACATTGTTGCAAAAAGTGCTGTAAAAAGTTAATACGGTATATACATTAAGAGTTCTCAATTAATATGCAATTAAAAAAACCTTTACTTAAATATAAAAGACATTATTGAATATACTTGATTAAAGATATTAAAACCAGAGCGTTCAATTGTGAGAGAGATTAAGATTAAAATAAACGAGGTAATTAAAAAGGGTTAAAACTTAGTTTATTAGTTGTTCTTGAGCTGAAAGTACATGGAACCTTTATTATAAGATAATTAAGTTAAGAAAACAAGAAAGAAACACAAAATACAAAAAAATAAAACATTTTGTAAACCTTTTTTTAAACAAAAAAAGAGTTTTTTTTTTCTTTTAAAATTTTTCATTGAAAACATGGAAATGAGACAAAAAGTAACAAAAATAATGGAACCCAATAATTAAACAAACCAATCGATTTCAACAGTATTTTAATCAACTGTTATCGCTATTAAAACTAAAATGAGCTGAAAAACTGCTAAAAAACTAGTTAACAAAAAGAAGCAAAATGAAATAGATGAAAGTAACTCAAAGTTTGATTAAACGCTTTAGTTTATTTAAAGCTGAATGGTTCATAAAGTAATACCATGAAAATCATCCAACGTTATTATCCAGAAATGTTTTAATTTGTGTGTATTGAATAGAGAGATGTACTTTTTTAAAAGTAATACTGCTTCTTTGAATAAATATGAAAATTAAACAAAATTTTAAATAAGATATGAAAATTGCTAATGTAATAACAAATAGCAAATAGCATTTTTTGTACGTTATAATGCAATATAATAAACCGTCTGAAAAAAAAATCAATGATTTCTTTGTTTCATTTAAAATTCCGTGTAAACGTATTTAAGGATTTATCTAGTGCTAACGGTGACCATCACAAAGCTATCACAGTTTAGTTAATCAAACTAGAACATACAAATTCGAGAATAAAGGGACATGCAATTAAAATTTAAAAAAGGTAAATAAAAATATACACCTTTCTAGTTTCAAATTCAACCATATTTATCGTATTACAGCAGTCCACAGGTAAGTTTTAAGGTATATCAAATGCACATTATATATCAATATATCAAATTTTAATTTCCTTCATAATTATTTCACAACTTTCGCAATTTTACTTCACAATTAATTTAAGTAAAAAATATGGTTATAATCGAATAAAAATGCACATAATCGTTATTAACAAGAATGTTATACTGAGGCGTAAATTATTTTCTTAAAAAGTTTTGATTTATGTCAAAAACTTAAAAATTTATTTGTCAAACAACTAAATACTGATTTGTGTGAATTGGTTGAAATACTAAACATAAACGTATTTCTATCTGTAGTTGATTAAAAATCCACCTAAAAAAAGGCGTGTATTGGCTATATTTGTAATAATTTATCTGAAATTATTTTTAAAATAATTGTTCGTTAATCTCAATGGTAATTGGTACTAATGTTAAAAAATCTATGAAGAAAAGAAAAGATAAAACAACGGATATACAAAATATAAGGCTCTTTGATTGACATTGGAAGCTTGAAGTATCTTTAAACTACCCCCTCTCCGTATTTTTCGTACAAGTAAACAAGTTTTGGGCTTGTATGCTCTCCCTGTACTTCTGAGTGCACTGTAAAAAATGCCAGATCAAATTACGATAATAAGTACCGCACTCAAGGTGCTGATACTATTTACCCTAATATTAGTTCTCACCATAAAGATTTACGGTACAAAAAATCTGATAAATCGTAATATGTACTGTAAAATCACTGTAATTAAATAAATATTACTGTAAAAATAACAATACAACATTTTACGGTAAAAATGGATTTTACGTTTTATGTTTATCAGTAAAAATTTTACTGATGCTACCCTCAGGGTGTCAGTACTTTTTATCGGAATTTGATCCAGAATTATACCGAGTAGTTCATCAGATTTCGGATACGCTTTTATTTTTTCTCACTCTTTTCCAACAATTTTTTAAACAAAAGTATTGATAAACGGAGCATCTTGAATCAAAAATAGTCACTTTTTTGACTTGGACGCATTAATCTTTAGTTCAACTTAACACTCATTTTAAATGTTTTTATGAAAACTCGTTAAATGGTTACATGTTTAATGTTGATGCACTCCTTTGCACCATTTGTTCACCGTTGTTTATCTTAGACAATGCTTATCACAGATTATTTTTTTTCTCATTTGAATGTTACTTGTGACCCATAATGCACGTGATTTTTTTTTTATTTCCGATTTCGGTAAAGCTTTCCCCGTCTAGTATGATGAAAACAGTACACTTTTTTCACGTGGACGCATTAATCTTTAGTTCAACTTAACATTCACTTTAAATGCTTTTATGAAAACTCGTTAAATAGTTATATGTTAACTGTGATGCACTCCTTTACACCATTTGCTCACTGCTGTTTATCTTAGATAATGCTTATCACAGATTATTTTTTCCTCATTGAAATGTTACTTGCCACCCACAATGTGCGTGCTTTTTTTATTTCCGATTTTGGTGGCGCTTTCTCTGTCAAGTATGATGAAAAAAGTACACTTTTCTCACGTGGACGCATTAATCTTTAGTTTAACTTAACATTCACTTTAAATGCTTTTATGAAAACTCGTTAAATAGTTATATGTCACTCCTTTACACCATTTGTTCACTGCTGTTTATCTTAGATAATGCTTATCACAGATTATTTTTTTTCTCATTTAAATGTTACTTGAGACCCATAATGTGCGTGCTTTTTTTATTTCCGATTTTGGTAAAGCTTTCTCTGTCCTGTATAATGAAACAAAAGTACACTTTTCTCACGTGGACGCATTAATCTTTAGTTCAACTTAACCTTCACTTTAAATGCTTTTATGAAAACTCGTTAAATGGTTGCATGTTAACTATGCACTCCTTTTCAAAACTTGTTCCCTGCTGTTCATCTGAGATAATGCATATCACAGATTTCTTTTTTTCTCATTTAAATATTACTTGCGACCCATAATGTGCTCACTTTTTTATTTCCGATTTTGGTGAAATTTTCTTTGCCAAGGATACTGAAAAAAAAAAGTAAAAATGCCTATTAAGGCGGGGTTACTACGGAGTACTCTGCCTTATAAAGTCTACTATTCTTAAGGATTAGTCTGTATTTCAGCTTTTACTGCTCATAGACTTAAATTTACTGTTGTTTTTAGATAAAAATGTTTTGAAGAATCATGGAAAAAGGTGAAAAGGAAGAAATAAATTTATCTTTCAGAGAGTATGCAAAAGCTATTTTTTCCGATTCCCTTATCACGGGTTTCCCTGAAATCGCCAATTTGACTACTTGGAAGGAAAAGATATGGAAATCAACTGCTTTCTTANGAAAAAAGGTGAAAAGGAAGAAATAAATTTATCTTTCGGAGAGTATGCAAAAGCTATTTTTTCCGATTCCCTTATCACGGGTTTCCCTGAAATCACCAATTTGACTACTTGGAATGAAAAGATATGGAAATCAACTGCTTTCTTAGTTTGCTTGGTGGGGTTTCTCTATCAAACGCAGGAGTTCATGGTATATTTTTGGACATATCCAACAACAACCTACTCCGAAGTGAGCAGACCATACGAAATTATTCAGCCTGCCATGACATTCTGCAGCAATAATCGGTAAGTTAAAGAAAACATCCCAAGCGGTAATAAGTTTATTTGATCTTTGCTTCATAAACGAAAAA